CCCTGTTAGAACTAGAATAAAGGTCGTTGAAGACGCATGTTTCTCATCAATCTTTTGAATCGCCTGGCAATCTCGGAGAAGTGTTTTATTCCTTTAATGAGGAATGTAGTGTTTGCATCGCCCGCCAGCTTTCCAATCAAGCAGATACATAAGAGTTCTGTCCATTTCATTCTGACGACATTTCAATGCCCAGCGCGCCCTGAATTGTTGGTCGAAATATAATGGTGCTTCTCAACATGCTCTGCAATGCTCTGGCTCCTCCGGTAATAGGTATATGGGGTATAAAGATGCGATATCATGAGACTGTGGCGCAATGCACCGTTTCGTCACCCTTTAGCTGTTTATTTCTCTCTTGCCACTTTTCTATGACTATCTCCAAAATCTTTTTCAAGCCTTCCATTTCTTCTTCGACGGTAGAACCTGAAAAGTCGACGCTGCAACCAACATAAACAGGCATGTTCATTCTGTGCGCAAGTGCCCGTGCCGTCCGTGTGGCGTAGTCGACGGTGGATTGTGACATATAAAGCGGTGTGCTGATTGTGTTTCTCGGGTTGGTACGCTGCAAACCCCAAGTTAGCGTCACGCATTGTGATATATACTTCGGGCTCTCCAAGGACAAATAAACCACAATGCCAAATAGATCCAGATGTTAACTTCAGAACGAACATTCCCCAGCTTTTTGCCCAGAGAAGCCGAATATATCCAGACCTGGATATCATAGCATTGCTGGCATAAAGGACTCATCCAGAAGTCGCAAAAGAATCATGCATTAAATCGTACTATAAACCCTAATAACCTTGTAGGATAATACAACTTCAAAAATGGATAGCGCGCTAAAAGTTGAGACGTGGAGACACAGCCGGTGGAAGTGCTGGTGGAAGGGAGGAGTGCAAAAAGCGTGATGAAAGAAGAAATTATTCCTTATGAATAAAAAAAAGAAAGAAAGAAAGAAAGAAAAAGAAAAGGGCAGGAAACAAAAGTAAGAGAACAACTATGCTTTAATTCAAACGTACATCAGGCATCGCGTAGACGAAGCTTCCCATCGGCTTTGATGACGTGCCAGACTCTCCCATGTTGGTCGTTGTGAGGAATAGCAATGCTGATGTTGCGAAAAACGTCAAGTGGATGTGTACAGTCGTATACAGGGATTTTGGAGCCAGAAATGAAAGCTGTATCGGAGCTATAGCTGGACTGACTTGGGCACTTGGGATGTGACTGGAATCCATGGCTCCGGCAGCAGAGAATATTGTATGAGGGTGCCGGTCGTACAGTTGCCGAGGCTACTTAAAGTAAGCGTCTTGATATTTGGAAAATACCAAAAGCCAGTTTATAGAGACGATAATCCTAGTTATTCTGCATTGATGTATCATTCTGGAGTTGACGCTTTGTATAGCTGATGTTGGTAATTGTTGAGGTTGATTTAAGCTTGGCGCTAAACCCAAAATATGAATAACGTAATCAACCATCTAACGCTCGTTTCCACCCAACGCTCGCCTTTGTAAATCAATTACAATCAACTTCAAATGCTAATATCTCAATGAATATTCATTCAAAACTATTCTAAAAAAGAGAACAATAATTTATAGATATATATTATGTTATATTATATTTTTATAAGAAAAAAATATAGAATTATTAATTTATTAAACTTTTTAAAATACTCCATATAACGATGTGACGGTTGGCCGGAGGCTGCAAATGGCTGTTTTCGCCGCTGCTTTCGGCCTCCCGCTAACCGCCCAACCTCGATCATCACGTGAATCTATCCCCACGGCCGCGACCCTTCCCTCCACGCGTGGCCACGATTTTAAAAGTGCATTTTCGTGGCTTCCAGTCACCACCCTCGCTCACCCTCGCGCACCCACTGCCCTTCCTTTGGGAGGGAGGGGAGCCGTTTTTGACGCTTCACTCTGTCGGATTTGGCTCCCTCCCCAGATCATGGATCATGTTATTCTCTCTGCCTCCAGTCCCCGTCACTCTCACCATGCCGTCTGCGGCTCCCTTCCCTCCCCTCCTTCGCAGCACTACCGGGCCAGTTCTATCCAGGAAAGCGTCTAAGTCTTTCATTACTTGTTCCTGTCCCTCTCTCCTGTCGGCTCTCTCCTTGGGCCGTCCTGATCATGGCGCCTCTCTCTTGTTCGGCCGGGCCTGACAAGCAGAGCAGGAGCAAGACGGATGTCAGGTCTGCTCTGGATACCCTCTCCGCGCTGGATGCCATCTTTTCAGACAGTGGGTATGAAAGTGGCTCCGTCGGCGACGATGAAGACGACGACGACGGCCAGCTCCCCCCCGAACACTACCTGGCCTTAGCAGAGAGCCTTGATATCGCTCAGCTTCGACAGAAGCGGTACAGCCCCAGAACCCAGGAAAAACTCGATGAGACCCGTGGTTACTGGGAGAGGTAGGCAGTGGCTCATTTGACCCTGAGACTGTGTTATAAGCTCACCAGTGGCGCTGGGCAGGTATTGTCGGCACATCAAGGCCAACGCGGAGCGGCAATGGGATCGGATCTCTAATTCAGAGGAGACGGTTCGCTTCCTGTATGCATTCTTTAGCTGGCGGTGTGATATCCGTCGTGGCAAGAACAATCGATACTGTCCGGGCATTAAGCGCAAAAGCTCACTGGAGACATTTTGGAAGTGGTGGCACCTTGTCCTCAAACAGGAAACGGCATCGGGACTCAGCAAAGATACAATTGTCAAGGTGGAGGATGTGAGCACCCATACTCTCTCTCCTCGGATCACTTAACCAGAAGCACCACTGATCTCTTGCAGGTTGTTGCACAGGTGGCCACAGAAAAAGAGCTGGCTCTTGTTGGGCGGCCAAAGAAGAACATGTATATTGAAGATGTTGCTGAGTTCGCTCAAGTCGTTCTCACCACCACTGAGATGACATTTGTCTGCGGTTGGCAGCGCATTCAAATGCTTCTCTTCTTGCAGCTTGCAGCCATCACCGCCAGCCGTCCCTCGGCGATCCTCCATCTTCGGTATCGAGATAGTCGTTGTAAACCCTGATCCGCGTTCCAGACGGCGGGACGCCCCCGATTGTTTATATTCTTAAACCCAGAATTTACTAAAAGATTTCTCGGAGATAAGGCACCGTATGTGTTTCTGATCCTCGCGGCATGGCCTGGTTGACTGACAGAATTGATAGGAACGAGTTTAAGATTCCGGAAATCATCTTTGACCCGACCCTGGTTCTCAGCCCGCATATCTGCCTGCTGACTATGCTCTTTCACATTGGAGGATTCAAGTCAATTTCAACAAGTGGACCAGTGTTGGATTGCGCAGAGAAACTCTACAGCGCCAAAGTGCTGGATGGCAAGGGACAGCAGCCGCTACTACTAAAGGATGAATTACTGGATAAGTTTGTGTTTTGCCAGACGGAGCCAACATCCACCGGATTTAAAATTTGCTTGGATCAGAGGATGACTCCATCCATGGTGAGTTCCCGGATGCGCCGAGCCGGTGAGATCACGGGCTTTGAGGAGGTCGCCCACCCGTACAACCTCCGATATGCTGGAGCTAAGGCATTTAACAACAGCGGTAAGTAGCCCTCCGTTTTCTTCATGTTGCAGTCATGTCGGAGGGCTAACGATGAACAGAGGAAGTTACGGAGGCTCTTCAGAACGTCATGCTCCAGCACGCGGATATTCGCACCTTCGTCAAGCATTATCAGGTGGACGTCGACGTTGACGCGCAGGGAATAGTTCGGAAAACAGGCTCCCAAACAGCATTGGTGCAATTTGCCTGCTCGATGAGTGCATCCATCGACCCCAACCGACCGTATAAGCTCTCTCCAGAAGAATCATGGTCCCTCAATTACCTTCCAGCTGTCCGTGGCCGTCAGGATACTGTCCAGAAGCGCAAGCGGGAATGGGAGGATCGTGAAGCCGAGTTAGCACGTGCCAACAGGGTATGCAAGACTTCTCTAGGGCACCTTGACGACAGAGTACTCGCCGAGTCCAACCCTGAGGTGCTGGAGAGACTGGAAGTTTTCCGTGATCGGACAACAGAAGCAAAGTCGGAGCACAACAAGGCTACCCGTGAGTTGCGCAACGAGAAGCAGCGGCAGCGGAACCGACAGATCCGTGAGAACCTTGAGCGCTATAAGAATGAGCAGCCTGTGATTGACCTTGAACGACAACTGGCCGGGAAGCTGGTGGATACCAAAGTCATGGACACTTTCGAGCACGAGGCCTTCATGCCTCCCGAGCACTTGATGTTTGTTGACTGCGTGCTGACCATGCCGGGCGCTAATCTTGAAGCGGAATATCAGCGGAGGATCAACACAATCAACGCAGGAGTTGCATTCTGTGGCGTGGAGGAAGGGCGGCCCTCGCGCCGGCCCACGCAGACCCGTGGCAGGCCCGCGGTCGATGATGACCCTTGTCCTCCGACCAAGCGGCAGAGGTGCTCGGTAAAGGATAACACTGAGGTCCTCTTGCACCAAGCAATGGAGTCTGTGCAGGCCAAGTCTACAGCTGAACGGCCTCAGACCTGCTTTCGGCCTCGCGTTTGCTTTCTCTGCGTTGGGAATCCTAGTTGCGCGCTGGAGGACCGCATTATGAAATACGCAACAGCCGGATCGCTTACAAGGCACTTTCTACGAAGACATATCAACCCTCCATGGCCGGCCACTGGGGTTGAGTGCAATGTTTGTGAGGGGAAGGTGCTCCCGGCCAAATCTGCTCTTCTAAGCCATGCAGAGGAGGCCCACGGAACTGTTGTGCGGGGTCGCGCTCGGGAGAAGCTGGCGTTGGAATATCAACGGAGCCTAGAGAACTAGTTTTGTACAATAGAGATATATATATATAATAAAAGGAGTTGCGGTTCTCACAAATCATGTCCATCCTCACTCTTACTCAAATGCATGCTATATCAAAACACAAACAAAAAGCAAGTCACGCTACAATACGCTATCAACATATACACTGAATCTGCATTAGTTTATAATGTCTGGGTTATTTTTCGCATCTTGAAGTGTTGGATCAGGGATTGATAGTATGGGGTGAATCACAATTCCTCACGTCCTAATCTGCCTTTCCGTTTCCCTTTTGCATTTGATAAAGGATAACTAATGTGTACCCTTTTTGACTTTGGGAATTATTTCTTTGCTTCATCTTCACAGCAATACCCGCAGATCAGCATTTGCTCTACTTTGAATATAATTATTTTGAATTAATGGATATGACAGCGCTGAATCAAGCTAAGACAATGTTTTCTATTCAACAATTTTAATTTTGCTTGCACTGCCCTTCACTACTACAGTGTGAATTACTCTCTATTGCCCTCCATAGCCTGCTATCGTGAGTAGAAGGAGGGGGGTTTTCGATGCAACTGTGGCAGAACTTGGACCACTGCCACCTCTTCCGAACCAGTCTCTGGTTCCTCGATCATTTCGAGTTAATGGGATTTAAAAAGTCACTAGCTTTCATAGATTATTGGACTGTCCAAAATCATGACGGACAATCAAAATTTGCACCGGACAAAGAAGATGATTCCTCTGATTCATCGTTTTATCCGACAGCGTTGTCATTAGATACAGAGAGAGCAAATTCATTTCATGCCACCTCGGAGAGACAAGAGAAAACAAAAACATAATGAAATTTCCGACAAATCTGATCCTACCATTTGAAGGTTAATGGCAGAATTGCGACAGCGACCTATATCCATCTTCACCAACATTCTCCGATCGCAGCCATTGACGTCTCCAGTGCACGCGGTCGAGAGTAAACGTTCTTGCTTCCGTGCCCCAAGAACCTTAACATATGCATTCATCGCCTTGATTTCTACCGGCTGCCAGTGCCTGTTTCGTGGCGCCTACCTCTACCTTCTCGATTGCAGGCACGAGTCGCTGATACTGGATTACCATCCAGAGCTATCTTCCAGACCTAACATTCGTTTTTTTATTCATTATACCTGAAGCTGCCAAGCCGTGTAAGGCATCGTATGTAGATGTAGCCAAAAGAACAGACGCGAATAGGCTAGCTATGTTAGTGGTGGCGAGGCCACACTGCTCCAGGACATGAACGTGGAGAGCTACTTGGTGAAGCAGCCATAACTTAATTCATCCGCCAATGGCGCTATTGTGGCGGCTACATAGATGGAGGGTGAGTTTCTCTCAGAGCCTAGACGCCGCACTAGGCAAGGGATCATCATTGGTAATACTATCTAGACTCGCGCAATGCTGTTACTTTGGTCGTTATCCAGGACAAGTCGAGAACAGCTACAATAAACCTCAACATTGTACACAGCCCAAGAAAATTTCCACCATCCGACGCCAGCAGATATTGACGCGCATACTATGATTTCTCAAATATTCCAACTCTCAGGGCCATTATTCTGCGCAGCCAGCATGCCCAGGTACCAAAGTGCGAGCATGACCGTTAGCTGCTCGTTTCCGGGGTTTCCCCGTGCGTTCCACGGAATCGGTTGAGCAAGATCAAGATTGCCGACATCGTCTCGGCGCCTTACGGGGACTAACTCCAGGTCTGTAATGATATAGCCATACCGGGCATGATGTTGCTTCATATAAAAATTGAGCTGCGAGAGAACCTGGCGACATTCTCGACGGCCTGCTGGCAGGAGGCTGTTTCGCAAATTGCTAGTCCATTTCCATGATGGCTTTACCTCGCCAGGTGCGCGATTCCAACTCGTTGTAGCCGGGATCGTCTCGTCAAAGAATGCTGCATCGGGCTTGTAGTTGTCCATGATCCTGGCACCTTCACCTTCGTCGTAGGATACTCTCGTAAGCCCTTGGAGGCCTTGGTGTTGGTTTCCGATCTGGTCAAACGTTGCCCGTAGAGCATGTCTGATTCGGTTTTTGAATTGTGTCACAATAAGAGCTCTGAGTTGATTCTCCGAACTGACAATCGGACCCGGCGAAGTAATTGGCTCACTCGGAAGGGAGGTATTGTCGAGCAGCTGGCGATAGCGGTTCGTAATATGCTGCAGAGTAAACTCTGGCCAGGCATTTAGAGAGTGAATATCTTCCCAGCTGTAGGCAGTATTTGTCGTATTTGGACCAGGATTGGGCGGGGCGTTGATGCGCACGTGTGGAGGGCCGTTCTGCAAGAAAGCAGCAAGAGTAACTGCGTTGGCCATCCAGAAAACGACAGTCAACCGAAGGCGTTTCTCGAAGCCCTAAATGAGAATTGCATGTGCTAATGCATTGATGGAGCGTCAAGCTGCAGTTTCCCCTCCGTTGACGAAGACAGTGGGTGTACTTATATACGAGAAAGGCATGACAAGGATCCATTGTCCGCTGCGAAAGGCGAAATACGTTTGTGAGGTAATAGTGGATGCCGTGAGTGTCATCGCCAGTCTCCCTCCAGGATCTATTCGTTGAGGTTTGTTCGCTGTCATTATTGAAAACAGGTGAGTCATGTCTCTAGATTCAAGTATAGCCAATGGCGGTGATAGGAGCCCATTCCCCGGTTAGGCAACTGAAGCGCGGCGCAGGTGCGGATGGTATCGCAAGGAAAAATGTGGGTCCGGGGAATTCTGCATTTTGTGGCGAAAAGTCCACCGTACAAACGCGAGGAGGTCGACGAGCACCATAAATTGAACTACGCAACCACCACGAGAACTGACTGAGAGATCCTTCAGAACCCTTTAACCGTCAACAAAGAAGCAGCAGACTTATACACCATTCACCTCACTCGTCCACACATGATGAAACTCAACAAGGTTTGTCCGCAGAACGTGGTTTTCCATCGGGAGCTGCACCGCAACGACTACGCCGCGGTCTTCTTGGTATCAGTTCAGGGATTTGAATGTGTTATGAAAGTGGTGAGCACCTATCTTGATAGATGTTGTCTAAGAGAGCTGACCGAGAGCCGGCAAATAGCACCATGATCATCCCGGACACGGGCGTATCCATGAACGTGAAGCTACTGCCTACCAACGACTCCAGGCGCATGGCGTGACTGAAAAGGGCTATGTGCCTCGATTCTATGGAAGCATCGAAAAGCTTGAACCGGAACTTTGGCAGCCAAATCTAAATATGTTTATAAATGACACAGAGCTCCCAAGTGCGATATTTATCGAATATATTCCCGACATGCGTCAATTGCATCTTGACACCTTTTCCAAAGATCGTATGGCTAGATTTGTCCAGGCCATCAAAGCTATTACTGCTGCACTGGTCATGCATAATGATCTGAAAGCAAGAAATTTCATGGTCGCTCCTGGAGAAAGGGTGGTATTGTTGGATTTCGATCGGGCCAGGACATACGACAAAAACACCATAACTGCGGAGCAGCAAGAATGGCTCCGGGAGGATGTGCAGATTGTGCAGGACCTTGGGCGTCTACTCGTAGGTCTCATTTACCTGGCAAATGTCACCATAGATATACCCGACTCACTTATGGATTCTAGGAAATGGATGTGGCTGAGGGCCGCTTGAACCATTCCTACATCTACTTTTGCACCTAAATCCGAGACGGGTTGCTCTCCCGGACGCATTCATACAGCAGGAGGATGTTTTTTTTTTTTTTTTTTTTTTTTTTTCAGCTCGTCGACAAGGACGACGAAATTTTTTTTTTTCTGCAGTCCTCAAACGGTCGGATAAGGGGAAAGCCCAGCTGAGGAGCCAGTTTGCTCCCATGATATGGGAGCAGTATTCAGCCCAGGCTGAGAGGTTATTTTTCCTGCTAAAGAGCGAGCAGTCATCAATGGAAAGGCTAATGAGGAGGAAGAGTTCCTGGGTCAAAATATGTGATCCGTTGTGGAAGCTTGGCTATGCTAGAAAGTAACATTTATCTAGTTATATAACTGAGCGAGGGGAATTATTAAGGGCTCAAATAGAGGTGGGCAACCAATCATTCGGGAGGAGAAACTGTCTGACAGCAAGCCCATTGGGGTTAACGTTTTGTGGCTAGAGGTTGGCAGTATCGTCACGTGATGGGCTTGACATCAAATGGTTTTGGGCAGGCCACTTGACGGGTGGCCATGCATATCGTGGAACCAGCGTGCGCAAAACTGCGATAAGCCGCCATCGAATATCTAGACATGGTTAAAAGTGACCGCTCCTCCAACGGGGAAAATGCATGTAGCTTGACCCATATGCTCAGCCACTTTTCATTTGCTACCGTTGCCCCTAATTATCCTTATCATGGCGCTCGAAGTATTGAAGCTTTTAAATTTTCATCACGATGCAAACGCAATCGTTTTCTTTGAAAAAGAATGTTTGACACTGTAAATGTTTATTCAGATGGTGTTGAAGCGACGCATTGCCTGATTGATATATACAGGCCATTTTTCTCTCGCTGCTCTCCACCGCCTATCTACTTTGGATTTATCCCACGTAAAATAACTGCACTTCCCCTGTATATCTTGGGATTTGTATTCCTTGAACTCCTGGTTCTGAGCCTTGACTTCACAACGCGGATCCTTAACGGATCTTAGCGATGCGGGATATCCCGAATACCAATAAGGTTAGGCAAATTATCGTGGTCAGGTTAGCTGTCTGCATCGCTATTTTCGCCTTTTCCTTGGCACTCCTTGTTTAGATTTCTTTTCGTTCGGCCGCAAATTTCCTAAGTCATCATTCCGCGAAGTAGGAAGAGGCTCACACTCCTCTTCTAATTGAGATGTAAAGCTCGAGCCCAGGCCAACAGCTCCAATTTCCTGAGAAAGCCCAGTAGTCGCTTCCGAGAGGCTCTGTTCAGACTGCTGTAGTTCCTCAGGCTTAAATTCTGGTAACTCGTCAATTGCCGCGCATAGTTTCTTAAAATGTGAAGGTGCCCAGTCACCGTAGACACTAACAATAAACCTGTAGCATGTCCACTTCTCCTTGCCGTCCAGAGCGGTGAAATCGAACTTGTGAATGGTATGACGATAGTAGGTGGTCTCCTCCCCATCAATCACGGGATAGTGACCATATATCCTCACAGAACAGTGGTCATGCGACACAGAAAATCCTTGCACCTCCTGATGTAGCTCCTTCTCACGTTTTACCAATCTAAAGAGCTTGACAATGCCCCTTACTGAAAGAGTCATACTGTGAGCATTTTGTCGATCTGCCGTGTCGAGTGCCGCCTTTCCACACTTCACTTCAGAAGTCAAAAACGGAAAATACATGTAGGGCGTACCCAGGAAGAAAGAAGTATCGCCGATTTCACCGACAAACGGTGCAAG